GAAAAAAATGAAGCAAAATCCAATACACGTACAATTTAAACTAGGTATGTTGCGTGCCTCATGATTTAATGCAAAACTATGACTGACTAATATTTTACATTTGAATTTGAGTTTTAGTAAAAGTTTACGGAACTTGAAAAACAAATAGATACTACTGTCTTTTTTTTACTGAAGCTAACAAGTATTACATAGAATATTTTAGGTGCTGTAGCTAACAAGTATTACATACATTTAGCTGAGAAGTAAAGAAGATAAGAAGTTTGGTAGGAAAGAAAGAATAAACAACACCGGAGCACCCGCAAACCATCCGCAGTAAATTTCTTGATATTATAAGAAAAAGTCTGTAACAAATCAACAGCACGTGCGACAGCGACAGCAGGGCAGGCATGGTGCAAAACAAGACAGTGGATTGGAACGCTTCTTGTCATCAGGTGCTCTGGCTTTTTGATGTCTGACGAAGCTTAAAAACACCTGAAGATGAACAAGAATTAAAAAAGAAAAGCAACAGTTAGCAATGGTCATAGTCATTACTGCTGGCATTGAAGACTAATCAAGACTTAATTCAAATGCAATCGTTGTAGACTATAGCTGGGAACTGAAGGAGTCATCGACACTATAATGCGTTATCACTGTTAAAAAGCACAGCAATAACTACAACAGCAACAGCAACATCATCATCAACAACAACAACAACAACAGCAACAAGAGCAACAGCAACAACAACAACAAAACTTCTACAAATTCTTTTAAAACCGAATTTTTACAAACCGTTCTCTCAGCAGAGGCACTAAAAGCATAATTATGATGTAATATCAGACTCATGTACTATCAATCTTAAGTGACGGTTATAAAATTCATGCGAATCTTTCAGCTTTCAATTTTTTCGTCTCTTTTTTAATTTGCCTATTTATCTCATCATTCAACCTTTCATTTCAGTCCCTAGGATATGGACGACGTTGAATTCAGAGGTTCAGAGGTCCATGTCAGTACCCGCTTTTATTAGTGTGTGTGTGTGTGTGTGTGTGTGTGTGTGTGTGTGTGTGTGTGTGTGTGTGTGTGTGTGTGTGTGTGCGTGCGCGTGTGCGTGTGCGTGTGCGTGTGCGTGTGCACGCACGTGTGTGTGTGTGTGTGTGTGTGTGTGTGTGTGTGCGCGTGTGCGTGCGTGCGTGCGTGCGTGCGTGCGTACACCACTTGCGCGCGTATGCAAGTTTGTGCGGTATAATAATATTCAAAAGATGATCGGTTAACCTCCTCTCCCCTCCCCCCCCCCCCAAAAAAAAAAAAAAAAAAAAACATCCCCAAAATGAGGCAGCACCTGCTCAAGCGTGGTCTGATGCACTGAGTAGTCCTGGACGTTCAGACTTTGTTTAGCCCCCTCCATCAGAGAGAAAATATTGGCTAGTTTCACGTTTGAGTCTTCAATGTGGATGTGAATGTAGCCGAAATGATCATCGAAAACCTGGAAAACAGTTTAAAAAAAAAAATTGGCTCTTTCTTGTATAATATGTGGATGTGAATGTAGCCGAAATGATCATCGAAAACCTGGAAAACAGTTTCAAACAAAAATTGGCTCTTTCTTGTATAATATGTAGATGAATATAGCCGAAATGATCACCAACATCCTGATAAATGGTTTCAGATATAAGTGTTGAATCTTCCCTTTATATGAGTAAAGGTAGCCGATACTTTCATCGAAAACCTGAAAAATTGGTTTTTAGATATGAATGTTGGTTCTTGTTTCTGGATGAATGTAACCAAAATTATCGTTTAAAAACAGTTTCTTATAATACGAATATTTGCTTTGACTTGAACGTCGATGAATGTAGTCGAATTGATCATCGAAAAGTTGTAAAACAGCTTATGAGAAATGATATAAGAGGTGGATTTTCTTTGAATGAAATGAATGTTGCTGAAATGATAATTGTGATAATTGAAAATCAGAAAAAAGTTTCCAATATGAATACAAGTCTTTTCTTGTATGTGGATATGAACGTATTCTAAACGACAATAACCCCCTCCCCCTCCTACCCCCCCCCAAAAAAAAACCCAACAAAAAAACCCCGATTATGCTACCTCAGAATTACAAAGTTCTTTCTGTTCAGTACCTAGTTTTGAGAAATTTGACATACAAGGTTTTGAGTTCCACATCATGTCAAGCTTTTTCGAATGCAATTCTTCGAGTATCTTTATAACGACTCAGAATAGCTTACAATTTTGACAGAGCAGATAAAACATTTGGTTGTTGATCTTATTGTCTTTATAACTCGAAAACCGCCAAAAATGCCAGATAGAACTTTGTCATACTGAGGTAACGATTTATATATTACAAGCTGGGCCCCCTTTCGATGAAAGGAATGATCGGTGCTTTAAAATCAGCTAAAAGTCATTGGCCTACTATATTTACACTCTACTGGAATGGGGAAATAAATCTTGAGAGATGCAAAAAATTAGAAGGTCTAGATCTGTACTCTCAAAACAAAATGCGCCTCGCGAAATATCACTTCCGGATTTTATAAAATTACAGAGAAAGAAGCATCGGCCTACAAAAAGCGATCGGCGAAATAAAGAAATTTAGCTTTTGCAGCAAAACTGTCTCAAAATTGAACATAACCAAAGGCGTCATGATCTGGAGAATATTTCAAAGAATTTTTTGACGAAAACTGCATGTCGATCGATGCAGCCATTAAAAAGCCTTTTGAATAGCAAAATTCGGCCACCACAAATAGATAATAGATTATAGACAGAAGTCTCCATCTAAAAACCCAGATGTAGGCTAGGGAGACAGGGTGAGAGAGGCTGATGATAATGGTAATAATGATATTATTATTATCAGCATTTTAATCAGTCAATCAATGAGGCATATGTGTCACTCCGCTGAGGACACGGAGGATGCAGATAACTAGCTGCTTGTAACCTGTATGAGTGACTCACTTTGGCAGATGAGATTTGTGACTGGATAAACTCAATCACAGGCTCATTAGGCGCCATTTGGCCATCCGTCAAGTGACCCATCTGGGCAATGAGGGTGTAGCCTTGACCAAACTTGTTTTTCAGATGTTGTGGGCTGCCCAGACACATGAACCGACCGTTGACCATAATGGCGATACGAGTACACAGTGCGTCGCATTCTTCCATACTGAAGAAATACATGTAGCATAAAACGTTATCATCTTTTAAAAATGTGCACTTAGAATAATAGTCATGTTAAAAGACACCCCCCCCCCAAACGAAACGATTATGATGTGAAAAATAAAAATTACAACAGCAACAACAACAACAACAATAATAATAATATTAATAATAATAATAATAATAATAATAATAATAATAATAATATGCATAATGATAATGACGATAATAATATCTTATAAAAAATGCTTACTACTACTACTACTACTACTACTACTACTACTACTACTACTACTACTACTACTACTATTACTACTACAACTACTACTACTACTACTACTACTACTACTACTACTACTACTACTACTACTTCTTCTTTTCCGCGAGAACACAGAACTGACAGGAATGACTTTAATAAAGGGAAGTAAATCATGTATTATTGAAACCTTAAAAGATGTGAGGCCCTGTCAGAGTTATCTCTCGTCCTTACTAAGCTGCAACCTTTTTCGATCCCCGTGTATAGCTATCAATGTCGTAACCATTGATTATGATTTATCTACAGAAGCATCAGCCGCCCATGTATAGGTCCTGTTTTTAATTTTTATGCTACCTGTTACGAATCTCACCCAGCCAGCTAACTTCGAGATCCTATAATACTAGGAGCTCAGACTATAAAAGAAGAGAAAGGCCACGCAAAAGGTGGATTGGAGGAGTCTAGGACACCATGAGAAATTATAATAATGTCTTAAATAATGAAGGCGCTGTGGAGCTGGCCTACCATAGAAAACAGCTTCTCCCCTCGGTGCTTAACGGATGAAGGAGTAAAAGTAAAGGTAAGTAACCTTCATGCACCCTGAAATTACCTGTGTCATCATCATCAATAATCTATTCAGAGAAAAGCCAGCCATCCATGTCCAGGTGCTGTTTTAGACAACATTACCTGTGTCCGACCTGACCGTCAATAAATTGTCTATAGAGGCACCAGCCAGCCATATTCAGGAGCTGTTTTGGCATCTTTTTCCTGTCTGTGGTTTAGTATTCCTTTGTCCAATTTCGTTCCACTTCCATGCACCCTGTATCTATGATTCTCAACCTGGAAAAAATTACCTGTGTCCTTGACCTTGACCGTCAATTATTTATTTATAGAGGCACCAGCCATCCATGTCCAGGAATTACCTGTGTGACGTCAACACTAGAGTACGGCCGGAGGCGCGGACTTGTGAGAGAACAGTCCACAGCTGCCTCCTGGCGCCAGGGTCCATCCCCGAGGTGGGCTCATCCAGCAGGATAAAGGCTGGGTCCCCGACCAGAGACAGCGCTGTGCTCAGCTTGCGTTTGTTGCCACCGCTAGGGAGGGCAGGGGAATATTGGTGGAAGCGGGGTCATGAAACTTATCATTGCTTTCAAAAACGAATTCTTGCGGTAAGAATGATAAGATAAGATAAGATAAGATAAGATAAGATAAGATAAGATAAGATAAGATAAGATAGTACTTTATTATCCCAGAGGGAAATTTTCCTTGGCTGTACAGGGCCATAAAAACACATGCAGGTATACATTAAAAAATTCAAATCATATATATTACTCTCATTAAAATTCAATAGGAGAAGTAAAGCTGACAAAATGTACATTTACATCAAATGCATCATTCAACCACATGCAGGAATTTAAATACTAGACCTTTGGAGTTATATACAGATACATACTCTAAGAGCAACACACATCTATGCTCATTCTGACAAAAGCCTTATGCTAGATGGTTGGGATAGAATGAATTTTGAAACACACTAGTAAGTAAGAACAATACACAGGAGAGGTGATATCAGTAACACGGCAAACTATAATAATATAATACCAGGTGTCTAAAAACGAGGACCCACTTAAACGACAATAACTGGGTTACAGTACCTTTAAACACATTTTAACAAAACTTCGCAGAAATAAAATCCATCCACGAGGACGTTACGTTTGTCATTATGAAAACGAAATCAATTTGTTTGTTCCAAAAATATCAAATAAAAAAAAATTCAATCAAAATTGACTGAAACGCAAACTGTGCAACTTCTTAAAATCAACTAAATTGTTTAATTTCAAATAGATATATGAATTGAAGAACAAATTAATAAAACATTCATAAAGTTAAATAAACTCAAGAAAGGTGCTCACTATTTAAATCTCCTGGTGTTGATCATTTCTTTCCACACAAGCTTCAATACGCCACTGGACATCTATACATATTATATTTATGAAAGTCAGTCACTTAGGCGCCTTAAACTTCCCAACCACTTTACTTTCGAATTTGAAAAAAAATTAAAGGTGGTTCAGAATCATTTGAAGTGTACAGAGTTTTACTGAGGAATCTGAAGCCATTGTAGTTTAATTTTCAGTTTTTCATTTGCTCGTTTAGATCTAATCTTGGGAAAGTCCGTCTTCTAAGACGCCAAATCATTGTAAACAAGTGAGGCTTCTGTTCACAAAGAGTGCGTGCACTGATCCCACAATGACTTGACGATCGATTCTTTCGAGTCCGTTCGTCGAACGGAAACCCAGCTATCCGATTCACTTAACTTTCGAATTTGACAAAATAAATGATGGTTCAAAATCACATATCCATTTCAACTTTAATCAACAGACCTATAAGCACCGACAAGCTTATCTGCGTGAGGCTTCAGCATGAGGACATCGATGAGGTCATCGCACACTGAGCTGATGTGTTCTTTCGGCACACCCTTCAGATTGCAGAACAGGGTCAAGGTCTCTCTGCCAGTCATGTGATCCAGAAGAGCGTCAAACTGAGGGCAGTATCCCATGTTGGCTTGGACCTAGAGACGAAAATGTGGTTGTAATTAATAGTAAACGCTACTTTAGAATCACACAGTTCCATCTGCTCAGTGCGTAGTTTTGAGAAATTTGATGTAAAACGATAGTAATGTTTTGAATATCTTGATAACGACTGCATGTGACCTTAAGATGTTTTGATAGTGCAGATAGAGCATTTGGTTTCCAATTTCATGGTCTTATCGTTATTCATACGGGCTAAATATTTCAGAGCATATTATGATAGAACCGTGTAATTCTAAGGTAGCGTAATGTTTTTTTTTTAAAAAGGGTAATGGACAGTAAAAAGTCGAAAAGTAAAAAAGAACAACACAAGTAGCATTTAAACAATATAATCTGTTCCACTTCACACGAGAGATGTTGCTTTTGTTCCGATGGAATTCCACTGTGTAAATCCTTTTATGTTACCTCTTACTCACATCTTTAATGTTGTTTTTGATATCAAATTTGTTCACGTAGGCGTTCCCTTCAGTGGGCTCCTCTAGGCCAGTCAGCATCTTGAAAGTTGTGCTCTTTCCCGCGCCATTCTGGCCCAGTAAGCCGAAGCATTCCTGGGCGGGGACCCCCACAGAGATGTGGTCAACTGCTGGGAAATGTCCGAACTGTGGAGCAAAGAAAAGAGCATTTGTTTGTGTCACAGCCCACATCTACACAATTCGAATGGTCAACTGCTGGGAAATTTCCGAACTGTGGAGCAAAGAAAAGAGCATTTGTTTGTGTCACAGCCCATATCTACACAATTCGAATGGTCAACTGCTGGGAAATGTCCGAACTGTGGAGCAAAGAAAAGAGCATTTGTTTGTGTCACAGCCCACATCTACACAATTCGAATGATTAATGACTCGGGCTTAGAGTCTGTCTTACAGAGCCAATCCAGTCTTAAGCGGAAGGACTGGGTGAGATACTTCAAAAATATTGTCTCCACTCAAGAATTGAACTCGTATCTCCTGAGTGCTTTAACGATACACACTAAACGCCGCTTGTATTTTTGTGTTCAGAAAACTCACGCCAAGCTTTGTAACGTACAGTAAGACGCTTAAAATTTGGATACGTCTCATTATCAGATCCTATATAAAATGAATTACTTTGTTCTTATATTATTTATAACTACCCATATAGAGAATAAACTAGGAGGCTGGTGTTTCGGCACAACTTGTCAGGAACAGCCTGGGGTGAAAGGGATACTGTATTCCAATGGGTGGGCGGAGATGCTTGATAAATAAATAAATTCAATAAAAATAATAATTTTGTTGACATGCCTTACGTTATGAATACGGCACTTATTGCTTATGGAAATTGATTGTTTTTTTTAATGCGTGTTGACAAATATTAGATCTAAAATTTGTCTGTTGTTTTGTATATAATCGAATTAGAAAATTTTAAATGAATCTTGTCATGAGGTAGTATTCAAGTTTGCCAAAAATCCGTGAGAATCCACACTCAAGACACCACCAACAAAAATTTATTTCATATATCAAAAATTCAGCAGGCAAATTTTTAGTATTACATTTTTTCTTCATTCTGTTAAAAAATTTCATGAAGATTAGATGAAAAATGGTGGAGTTGTTTTAAAAAGGTATAGAGAAAAGTCGCGTTTTGAGAAAACGGCTGATAAAGAAAAATAAAATATTGACTTTATGAGGAAATGGTGGTGACAAACATGCCCGGTATGGAAAGAATTAATGAGCAAAAGAGAGAAAGAGACAGACAAAGAAAAAAAATAAGAGAGAGAGAGAGAGAGAGAGAGAGAGACAGAGAGAGAGAGAGGGATAGAGAGAGAGAGAGAGAGAGAGAGAGAGAGAGAGAGACAGAGAGAGAGAGAGGGATAGAGAGAGAGAGAGAGAGAGAGCGAGAGAGAGAGAGAGAGAGAGAGAGAGAGAGAGAGAGAGAGAGAGAGAGAGCTAGCCAGCCAGCCAGACAGACCGACAAAACAAAGAGAGGCTGAGAGGGGGTGAGGGAAGGGGGGAAAGAGGAGAGATGTAATAATAATAAAAGTAATAAAATAATAATAATAATAATAATAATAATAATAATAATAATAATAATAATAATAATAATAATAATAATAATAATTATAATAATGATAATAACGGTGATAATAAAAAAATTGACATTTATGTAGCGCTCAGCCCTTATTAAATTACACAGGCTCTGAGCGCTTTACAATACAATACAAAGTACACAAATTTACTTTTTTAAAGTAAGTGTTTTTTACGTCCCCATCGACACAATTAAGATAATTCAGGAGGCGAGGAGATGGATGCAACAACCCAGCAGAAAGACCAAGATATTCGATAAATTTCTCCCTACTCGGGAATCGAACTCGGGTCTCCTGCCGACAAGGGCGAAGTACCCAACCACTACATCACAGATGTCGGTGAACTTAGAACAGATGGCCCACTCTCTAAGTTCGTCCACGGCTAGTTGATTTCTTGAATAGACAGCGTGTTGTAATACAATGCAGGGGCTGCATAGCTACACCATTATTGTTACAGCTGGCCAGTGTGTATTCGAGAAATGTCAGCAGTTAGAGCAAAGATAGTGAATAACAAGATGGGCCACTCAGCCAAAAAAGTGTCCGCAGGAAGTATGCTCTTTGCTTCAGATGGCGCTGCAGTCTGTTTTGAAGCTCTCTTTCGTTTTTCCAGAAGAAGAATAGGAATAGCACCTCCTTGCGTGCGCAGATCGACTGCTGTCCATCAGCAGTTCGGGTACGTTCAGTGCGGAGTTTTAGCTTTTTAAAAATTTTAATGACCTCTCGCCTTTCATTCTAAAGTCAAATTAAACGAAGAAAACCATCACCCTTTCCTCCGGAAGAGGTTTTTTGTCAGCGTAACCATTTAAAAAAAGCGTTCTTCCGAAATTTATCCCAAAACTTGCTAGTTTCACTTTGATTTTTTAAAACTCAAGTAGGGTAACTCTGTTCGCAAAGAGTGCGCTTTTGTGAAGAGGGCGCCACCAAATTTTGAGGACACTTTTTTAATTGGCTCAAAGAGAGAAGTGGCCTATCTTGTTATGTACTATCATTGGTTAGAGTACCCAGTTATCAAACGATACCGGAGACTAAACACAGAGCAAGAATTCTATTTTTAACGTAGGCGTTTTAATATTCTTATCGATACTGCAGTTGTTATGAGTCCTCGGTTAACAATCGATACTGGAAACATATCATGAACCTGCAACTTACTTTCTTGTGTAGGCGAAGCGCCAAGCCACTACACCACAGGCGTTTATGAATAACGAACAGCTGATCCACCTTCTAAGTTCTCCTAGATTGGACGCCTAAGCAATGAGGTGTTGGTTGATTTCTTAAAAGACAGCATGTTCTAACTTGGCGTGCGGGCTGCTTAGCTAATCCATACTTGTTACAGCTGCCCACTACATATCCATAGGATATTAGTTTGAGACCTCGTTCAACAAACTATACTAGAGACAAAAACAAAAAGCTAGAACTTACTTTTTAATGGTGGCCTTTTTACATTTTTATCGACACTCGACACAATGAAGGTCACCCAGAAGGCGGGCTGTGACCATGCCTGTCTGGACCGGTCTGGGCTGAGATGGATACATTTTCCCAATAGAAAGACCAATATATTTGTTAAAAAAACCATCTCGCTACTAAAGAATCGAACTCAGGTGTCCTGCGCACGACGGCGAAGCATCCGACGACTACACCATAGAGGTCGATGAATGTATAATAGAGGATCCACCTTCTAAGTTGGACGCCCAAGCAATCAGGTGTTGATTGATTTCTTAAAAGACAGCGTGTTGTAAAATAGCAAGTTGGGCTGCATTGCCAAACAATTATGGTTGCAGCTGCCCACTATTATACATCAATTGTCCAATCATCCATATGAATGAGTTATATGAATTATGAATGAGTTAAGAAGTAGAATAAGACCCCCCCCCTCCCCTGATCATTTAGAATTAATATGACCTAGTGGTGTGTAGTTCTTAACTCTCCACTTTCTGTGTAGCCCCATTTCGTGGCCCCCGACATCGTTCGAGAAAGACACTTTTAACAATTGGGAGTAGAAATTTACTTAACCAGTGCTTGATCTACGGTTAATAATATATATCTTTAAGCTTGTTCATTTGTCTTACATTCGATGACAAAATAATCATCCATTTTGAGTAGAAATTGAAATATTGGGGACTGAAGAAGGGATCACTTTGCTATACAGGCAAAATTAGCAAGAAAATGGCCACCACAGTTTTAGTGACCCCCAAAGCTTGAGTATCCTCGAAACTAATAAATAATTTATGCTTTTTGCGCCTCTGATCAGCGTTTTCAGCAAAATCCACTCATAAATGTGGTTTGAAATGGACATGACAGGTGTTGAGAAAAACAAAATTAAGTAAAAAAAAAAAAAGTGCCTAACGCTTTCTTCGATTCCATTATTTTGACGAGAGCCTGATTTTATGCTTTCATCACGAAGCCATGCAATATTGTGTTATATTATTATTATTCTATCTTCCGTTGTATCCATCCTTCGAGAATAGAAGTAAGAATATCGCGTACGTGAGACACAGTAAGCTAGAAAGCAGAGTTACATAGTATTTAATGTTTCCTTCTCCACAGTAAAAAGCAAACATTTGCAATTATTCCGTTTTATGATTTCAAAAATAGTTATTGCCTTTATGAAAATCATGAATCATTTTCGTTCTATGATGTCAAAAGCAATACTTATGCTTTTATTTTCAAATTTCAGATTATTGAATCTATAAGACTTGAGCTGCTCGAAAGATCAATTGTTAGTACCTTTGTTTTCATTGGGCTATCTCAGTCCAGTTAGATTTATGTTGGTGCCGCTTACTTTTGACTTAGCTTGTTCTACCAGCTTTCTAGTTTTCATGCACTTCACCACAAACTCCATGGAACCATTCATTTTTTTTCTGGGAAATCTCGCTATCTTCATATATTTTTCTTCATATGTTGAAAAAAGTGGTGTGTTATTTTTGGGTTCAGCTCGTCTCTATACTGTAAAAGTAAACCGTGGGTGGTTGGTGGGTGCTCTGGTGTGGTTTGCTCCTTCTCTCCTATAAATAACTATGGTCATTCTCTCTCCTCCTACTTTTTTGTATTTGTGGAGTCTTCACACTCTGTGGGGGCCATATACGGGTTTCCGTGATGTTAATGTACGAAAGATTCTTCTAATCTATTTTGCTAAGGATGATAATAATGATAATACTACTAATAATAATAATAATAATAATAATAATAATAATAATAATAATAATAACAACAACTGCATTTTATAGTGCGCATATACACGTTCTGCACAATGCTATATTACACGCCCTTTACAGTTATTGCTACCCCAGAAGACCATTATAGACTTTTACTTTATGACCTATACGGTTAAATCGACAGCGTGGGTTGTTGACAGGTGGTCTGGTGTGGTTTTCTCCTACTTACCTTCCTCTTTTATGTGTGTGTTACTCTCTTGTAACACCTCTAATCTTTGACACTTACGAGTATATGCCTTATTGTATTGCAAGTTCATTAATTTCTCTGACTAAATCTAACTCACCTGCTTCACAAGATCAGCAATAACCAGAGAGTCTGAGACCAGCAACTGAGGCAAAGGGGTTAATTGGATACGTTCTCCTTCTTTAATGACGTCATGATCTTCAGTAGTCATCCACTTGGGCTCTGATTGGTCAGAATCTTCGACCTGATCGCTTCCCCCCTGATTGTCCCTCTCCAGCAGCGGTGAAGATTCGTTTACTTGGACTCTGGATTTGTAAGCACGGCTGCAACACAATACATGTACATGTAGATAGGTTAGAGAGAGAGAGAGAGAGAGAGAGAGAGA